GCAATATCACCCACTGATAACTGATATGAACATTGACCGTTGAATAAGCTGCTTTGACCAATAAAATGACATGTGGCTCCGAGTCGGATACAGAGTATGATCCACGTGGACCAGAAGAAGTGACCTCTTAAGGACCCGTCAATATTTCCCAGCATCGGGAACCAGAACGCAGGAGTTGGAAGATTCCGGCAACTTGACACCGGCAAAAACCAGAACGCAGGAGATGGAACTTCCGAAGAAGAGAGGAAAGAAAGCGAGAACTCCGTCCTCCATTCAAAGTCAAATCTCCATCCCGGCCAACAAAGTAAGAAACTCGATTCATCGGCAATCAAGACATTTTCAAAAAGCAAGAGCAGCTCCCTCTCCTTTTCTCTGTTTTCTTTCTTTCTTTTTGAAGAAAATGAGCTGATGATCGAAAGAAATATGAAAGACCAACAGTTGAGGTCGCACACGAAATCACAAGAAGCAAGGTTTTTTTTTTTTTAATACTTTTTGAAGGAAATAAACTGATGGTCAAAAGAAATTTGTATGGCGGCGTGAAAGAAATCACACAAGCGAAGGGAATTTTTTTTTTTTTGGTTTTTAAAGAAATTAAACTGATGATCAACAGAAATTTCAAAGAAATGTTACAAATGCACAGAAATCACAACGAGCAAAAGGATTTTTTTTTTCAAGAAAATAAATAAAGAGAAATTTGAAAGAAATGTTACAGCAGCATAAAACACAACAAGCAAAAGCCTTTTTTTTAAAAAGAGAATAAACATGCAGCAAGCTAATGCTCAGAGGAGTCCGCGAGATTTTCCGAACTTATCATCAGCAACTATGGACTTTGCTTAAAAATGAATCAGTCGTCTTTTTTTCTTTTGCCTAAAACGCATCAGTTGTCTACTGTATATTATTTACCGTTCTTAAAAATTACATCGTATCCATTTATTTCCATAAATAAATCTTTTCCATATCTTTTATACCTTGACTTAAATTATAAAAAGAAAATATAGAAGTTTTTCAACGTACTTTTTCAACCTTTTAAAAAGTTTTAATTTTTTTTATTCATTTAGATTGCAGGTTTCAATTATAAACAATATTTATTTTCTAGGGCCCGTCATAACGGGCACTGAATCAAGATACTATTATGGAAGCGTGAAATGACAGGAAAGTATCATCAAAATAAGAAATTATTATAAGCAGGTGGACATTTATACATTGAACAAAAGTGGATCAATAAGTTGCATCGTCTCAAATTGACCACAAATTACTGGACCACACAGTCATAGCTGTTTATTTCTTTCATTTTTCAATTTTTTGGGTGGATCGACATGCATTATTGTTTTACTGAAGGGTTGAGGCGTGAGGGAGTTCGATTGGAATAATAACGCCAAACAAGAGAAAGCGAGTGTGTGTGTGTTGTCTATATGCATTGGATTTGGGCATAATGAAAGAAGTTATGTCTTTTACATATAAAACGTAGAGGACCAATTTTTAATTTTTAAAAAGTATTCTCATAACTCTCTAAAAACTAAAGTGTTAATGAATAAATAAGGTTTGAATTATTGCTCAAAAATCACCCCGAATCTAAATTTTAAAATATACAAAATAAACTCTAAATTTTTAAATTCATAATAAAATGAACTTTAACCATTAACTTTTTAACACTGTTACTGTTCACGCAAGTATTATTTAGGATTTATTTTCTCATGAATTTAATTTTGACTATTACAGTACTCGCGTGAACAATAATGACGATAAAAAAGTTAAAGGTCAGGGTTTACTATGAATATAAAAATTTAAAATTTATTTTACATATTTTAAAAGTTTAATATATAGAATGACTTTCAAACAAGGGTTTAAGATTTTATTTACTCGTTGACCCAAAGTCAAAAGTTGTTTTGATTTGTTTATTCATGAAAAAACATTTCAAAATTACTTTAAAGAAATTGGTTGAAAGTATTTTTGGTCAATGTAATTTGAGGGAGCTTTTAAAATGTGCATTTGGGATTGGGTATTAATGAGAAAATTAAAATATATATACATATTTTTTATTTTATGCTACCCCTAATTCTTTTTCAATCAATTTGTAGTATTAATGTATGTTTGACTATTTATATAATATTTGTCCAATATATCAAACTTTGTATTTTTTTTCTTTATCAGCCAACATATCAAATTTTATGTTATTTAAATTTTTTATTACATACATTTTTCAAACATTTCTAGCATGAAATATTTGTACAACATAAAATATAAAAATAAGAACCATTATCTATTTTAGTAATTGTATATTCAAAGATACTTTTCATCATATATAATATAAATAATTTTAATTTACTAAGACTTTTTAAAAAAATATTTTAAATATAAAATTTTTACATTAATTAATTTTTCTTAAATAAATACTCCCTTCATTTAAAAATATAAAATTTTTTAATTTTTTGAGATTTTACATCTTACCGGGTTAAAAAGAAAAAGCCCTAATATCTCGCCAGAAATATGCCTGATATAAATCTGAAGAACAAGTTAATAAAACTAAAATGAATAGTGAAATTCCCGAGACATCCATACACACCTTCGCTGGGAACAATGACCTCTGTGGGCGCAGCGTTAGTATCAAGGATTAGCTTAGCTCCTAAATAATACAGAAAGTTTAAAAAATTAAGTTGTAAATATTATGCAAAAACACATTATCCAACTAATTCACGTTGTTTTAAATTGAACATTTTGATCGATAGTAATAATACATTGTTTCAACAAAGTAAGGATGTAATTAAGATATGTGTGTATATATATAACATTTATCGATGTCTTATATCTTGAATAAAATAAAACTTTTAAAAATATTTTATATTTAATTTGAAAAGAATATATAATTATTTTTTGAGAATGTAAATTTATTACTTGGCAAAAAAGAAATAAATGTTATGCATTTGATTGGAAGCTTATATTGACATCAATTTCAACTATACATGTTTTAAACATTTTTACGTGCATCTAATGCTCTGTACTAGAGTTTAGAGCATTTTGATTTTGGGTGGTCATTGATGAGTTTCGAGGTGAGCAACAATCAGTTTAATATTATAATATGTAAAATTAATCGATCAATTAGAAATATGAATCAAATAAACTAAATAAAGACTAATTCAAAATTTGACAATTTAATTAATTAATTTAATTTTGTGTTTGTGCCTGTTTAGTTTGCCTTCACATTCAATTTTTGGGAGCAAATTAATTAATGCAAAAAATTACCCAAACAGCCCATCTTTTTCATAATCAATCAATTATGTTAACATAAATCACGTTCTGGCTGAAGCTAATGGGAGCACCTTCAGAATTTCAATTTTACATTAGCATGCGTTTATTATTTGTTAGATAATTCACCTGGCAAATATATCTCCAATGGTTGAATTCAAAGCTGAAACCATAATGATGTCATTGGTGATAGGGAAGATGTTGATGGGATTTATTGATTTATATTTTACATAAATTAAATTATTAATTTTATTATACAATATGATTTAAGTTTTTATAATTAAGACATACTTTATCGGTTAAAAATTTATATTTTTTGAAGAGTTATATATTAAAAAATATAAAATTTTTTATTTTTAATGTATAATTATTTTTTTTAAAATATCTCTATTGAATAAATTATTTGCATGACATTTTTAATTAAATTTCACTTCAATACAGTAGTTATTTGTTTTAAAACTAACCTCATTTTTATATTTACTCATATTTAATAGAATATTTTATTTTAAAATAAATATAAAGTAATTTATTCAAAGAGACACTTTTAAAAAAGACAATAATTATATTTTAAAAGACTAAAAATGTCTTATATTTTTTAATATTTAATTTTTAAAAAATGTCTTACATTTTTAAATAGAGGGAGTACGTCATATTTATTTTAAGATAAAAAGTCATATTAAATAGTGATAAAGATAAAAAGATAGGTTAATTTGGAGATAAGTAATTATTTTATTAAAAATAAAATTTAATTAAAAATATTTTATATTTTTTAATAGTTAAATTATATAAATATTAAATGAATTACTATCACTATTGTATATAATTATTTGTTAAATAAAGTTAGGTTAATACTTGAAGTTAACTTGTTAGATTAGAAGATTTGGAAGAGAAAAGCTTTAAAATTAAAACTCAATGCACTAAGCATTGCTAATATTGATAATATATTATATTAATTGATATTATTAGTTAATTAATTATATTAATTATATTAAATTATTAATTTTATTATATAATGTGATCTAAGTTTTTTATAATTAAGACATACTTTATCTGTTAAAGATTTATATTTTTTGAAGAGTTATATATTTTATCTTTAAGGTATAATTATTTTTTTTTAAAATATTCTATTGAATAAATTACTCCCTGCATGAAATTTTTAATTAAATCTCACTTCAATATTGTAGTTATTTGTTTTAAAACTAACCTTACCTTTCTATATTTACTCATATTTAATAGAATATTTTACTTTAAAATAAATATAAAATAATTTATTCAATAGAGATACTTTTAAAAAAGACAATAATTATATTTTAAAAGACTAAAAATATTTTATATTTTTTAATATTAATTTTTAAAAAATATTTACATTTTTAAATAGAAGGAGTACGTCATATTTATTTTAAGATAAAATAACATATTAAATAGTGATAAAAATAAAAAGATAGGTTAATTTGAAGATAAGTAATTATTTTATTAAAAATAAAATTTAATTAAAAATATTTTATATTTTTTAATAGAAGGGTATATGTTAAATTATATAAATATTAAATGAATTACTATCACTATTATATATAATTATTTGTTAAATAAAGTTAGGTTAATACTTGAAGTTAACTTGTTAGATTGCAAGATTTCGAAGAGAAAGCTTTAAAATTAAAACTCAATGCACTAAGCATTGCTAATATTGATAATATATTATATTAATTGATATTATTAGTTAATTAATTATATTAATGTCGGGTCGCAAACGAATTTTTCAGTTTCGCTTCAACCCCTCACGCAACTCCATCTTCCTGCTTGTTTAGAAAGAAATTCAGATAATGGAAAAAGCAGAAGAAGCCGAACGCTTGCTTGGGGTCGCCGAAAAGCTCTTGTCCGATCGGGATCTTACCGGCTCAAGAGAATTTGCCATTTTGGCCCAGGAAACCGAACCTCTTCTAGAGGGTTCCGATCAAATCCTGGCCGTTGTTGATGTTCTCCTCGCTGCTGATAACCGCATCAGCAACCACCTCGATTGGTACGCTATTCTTCAGGTTGATCGCCGATCGGATGACTTAGATTTCATTAAGAAGCAATATCGGAGGCTCGCACTTCTCCTCCACCCTGACAAGAACAGGTTCTCCCACGCTGATCATGCATTCAAGCTCGTCGCCGAGGCATGGGCTATTCTATCGGATCCCGCCAAAAAGTCGCACTACGACAAGGAGCTTGGCTTCTTCTCTACGGTTGATTTGAGCTCGCCTGGCTGGGTTCATCAAGAGAAATTACCCGTTCGAAGAGCCGGAACGGGGTACGGTCGTGGTGGAAACCAAGGGTTTGATTTCAGGAATAATGGCAAAGCCACTAGGGACGCTGGGAATTTACGACGGAGTTCGTCGACGTTCTGGACAGCCTGCCCCTACTGTTATTTGCTGTGCGAGTATCATAAGATGTACGAGGGATGCTGTCTAAGATGCCAGAACTGTGAGAGGTCATTCCATGGGGTTTCGATTCCGACTTTGCCGCCGCTTGTGCCAGGCCAGGAGGCCTATTATTGTTGCTGGGGATTCTTTCCATTGACTTTAGCCACTGCTAATTCTGGCGGCAAAGAATCTGCGACTCCTCCAGGATTTCCGAATTGGACGCCCATGGCATCTGAATCTGGCCGGCGGCCAGAGAATTATTGGAGTAAAGCAGAACCCGTGGCGGCCGCAAAGCCTGTGTCAAAGACAGCGACGGCCGTGGGTGTTTCTAATGGGATCACTTCAGGTCCAGGATCTAGTGGGCGGAAGCGAGGAAGGCCGAGGAAGGCCCCAGCAGAATCCTTTGTTATCATAAACTAGTTTGAGGTTGCGCTTGGCTCAGATCAGCTGAAAAGCATTTGGATTCCTAACTGCTGTAGAGCTAGTGCATTATTTGTTGTCGAGAATGCTTTGATTGTAGAATATGAAGGTTTAATGGAAGGAAATTTGTTAATTTCGTGGTTGATGCGGCGGGAGCTGGCTTGGCCGTGCTTTCCATGGAAGACCAAAGAAAGCTGAAGATGCTTGGCGGGGAAACATGTAGGTACTGTTGTTTCAGTATTGTTTAGTTGTTCACTTGTTTGTGGATTCCTATTAATTTAACTGACTACTTCATGCTTGATAGCGTGCAACTCTGTACTATTTGCCATATAGTTGTTTCATCTAGGTTTTTTTTAGCAGAGGATCAAAGTTACTGATCTGTTTTAATGCCAGAGAATGGCTGGTTGTAATGTTCTCCTTGTTTAAATGAATCTGGCTACATTCTTGTTTTCCTAAATATACTTTTTAAAATTGTACATATGAAGCACGTTAATTCTTTGCTATGATCACTCGTTATCATTAGCTGGCGCTGCCACCACATTTTGAAGAAAATACATACATTCTTCAGTTTACTGTATGGAGACTGAAAAAATGGCCAATGTTTATGGCTAATAAATAGCGGTACTTGCTGTAATTTTTTAGATTTTATATGTGTATTGATGATTATATTGATAATTGATTGATATTGTTAATTTATGTAGAAATTATTCTCGTATATTGATCCATCCTCAAAAAATGGTCTGCTTGTCAAATTTGATATCTCATATATTGCTTTTGCATCATTTTAAAACCTGAAAGTTAATTTCACTTCAGTTTTCCTATTATGAACTAATTTATATTCGGCCGTGTCGAGTCCCAAATAAGGAATAGTTTTCTGGACTATATTCTTTTTAAAGAGTATCAAATTCTACTTGATCTAAGAGCTATTGGTAGTTCATTTTAATTTCATTCTCTTGAGAGATTAAAATAATGTGATTCTTAAAATCATTTAGCCATCAGATTTTAGGAAGGAACCCAATACGTGGGGAATGGGGATAGTGCTGATGGCATAGGCAAGGGGTGAATATTAGTTGAGCTAGACTGAGTTTATTTTTGGCCCTGTGCTGATCCTATTTTGATGGCCTAATCAAATATTGGGCCTGGCTTTTCTGGCTCCATCTTTGTCTTGGAAGATTTATAAATTTTGAAAGCTTTTGGTATGGCTTTATAATATTTGGTTATTTTGAACATATGAACACTTCTTTGATTATTTATTTACTGCAAATGTGAAAAAACGTGGATTCGAAGAAACTAATATAAAAAACCTTGGTGTATTGGGTGGAACTTGGAAATGCAATAGTCTGAAGCTTGAGTGTCCATAGGGACTTTTGGCCCTGTAACATCAACACCTGATTATAAATGAAAGCTTTTAACCATTGAAGAACGTGAGAACTAAAATCTTTGTTCCCTATTGAACATTTAGGAGTTCTTCATTCTTTCTGAATTTTTCTCTCACATCTCTTATCGATGTGACCGTCTTATAGGAATAAAGTTTGGGGGGGGGGGGAGGATAGACAGAGAAGAGGAGAAGGAATGAGAGAACAGAAACTCAATACTATTCCACTAGTCCAAACACACTGATTACAATGAGCTTTTATTCTCTTATCCAAATCCTATCTAATCTAAATCCTACAGATATCATTTAAAATTGGGAGAATATCAGTGAAGAACCTCTGACATGATTTAACATTAAACAAGGAATTGGACAAATCGTATGTTTATTAAAACTTGAACTTCACTTATTATTTGTTAATATTTGGTTGTTAGAAATCCTTGTTATCATTTCAGAGGTCTTTTATTGACATTCTCCCTTTAAAATTAAAATCCTATTTGGAATCTATTTAAATCCCAACTAACTATAACAGTAAATAATTTTTAATTCTTCTCTTATTCATATTGCATGTCAGACTGTCATTCAGAGAGGTACGGCTGTGTTTTGCACTTGCTTCGTCCAAGGATCTTGTGGTATAAGAAAGTATTAGTTCAAGGTTCAGTCATCTTAAGTGGTGGATATAGGAGGTAATGTCAATACCATGCTATCTAATTTTATTTTTGAAAGCATGTTTGAGGATTAAGAAGTTCTTGAACTCATCCTGAGAAAGCTTGAAGAATTGAATTGTCTAAGGTAGATTTGGATGAGAACTCTCTTGTAGTCGATTGGCATCCTTCTGAAGAATTTTATGGATTCCGACAAGGCGACAAATTATAAAATTTGTATCAAACGAACTATTTTGCTATTGTTCCCGTTAGACAACTAATAGGTAATTCCATTAGGGAATGTGTCCCTCTGTATTATATCAAAATGGACTGAGTATCATATTACGCATGTTTGGATTCTCTGAAATACTCTTAAAACCTTTATATCTAGATCTAAATAGATAAGCTCTGCAAACATTCATAGGATGCCTTGTTCATCTCAAGCTATTGAAAGGACATTATGTGTGTGAAATTTTTAGGTATTTGTTATAATTTTAATTAAAATATAACATTTTTGCTTTTCTAGAATAAATGCCTGCCTATAGAATGTTGACTTGTATTATAATCTACTTGTTAAAAAAAATTCATTGCCAACTCCTGAAGAATTGTACAGGATTTCGTCATCGTCATGGAATTGGTATCATGCAATAGTCTCCACCTCAACAACCTATAGAAGATTTTCATGTAACTTGCGGTTCCGGGCTTTTGGCAGATCCGAAGGTGTCATAGAACAGTACCTAGATGATTTAACTTAAGTATGAGTAGGCTGGTTTGTTAACTGGATCAAAACTCGCTGTTCTTCCATGGATCCTTTCTGTTAAGCTGATTGAGCAAGATTTTTTATCAGGGTAAAAGAGACTTTTGCGTTCTGATCTCTAGTCTTGAAAACTGTGTTAGGCTCCCGCCTTGGGGTTCCAGGAAGCTTCCTTGTCAGGTTCCGACCATCCTATGACTTAAGTACTACAAATTAATCCGTTATTTCAAGGAAGAGCTAAAGAGCTGATCCCGTCTAGGTCACATACCTTCCCTTATACTTTGCTTGCTTCCTCCTTTTCTGAGGCTGAAGTATTTTGTTAGGATTTTTTGTCTTCTATCGCTGCTGGTATGATATGCGGTTCTTTCAAGCAGTACGGAGAGCAGCGAGGGGACCGGCGTACGGTCTTATTTTTTAGCTGTATTTGACTTTTGAGACTTGGACTCGTCGTTGTCTATAGATTATCAATGAGTCGGCACTAGGTTTGCAGATTCTCACGTTGTATATGGGTCTCTCGAATCGTGTTGAATGGAGAACAAAAAAGTGATGGGCCCATCGTCACCCACGTTTGCTTGGATGGAGACCCAGTAATCCGCTCCCTAGCACATTCGTTGGCAATAAAATCGAAGGAAAAATGGAAAATCATTCAAAGTACTAGAGCTCTACTGAAAAACTAGTGAAAACCGGATTTGACCCTGTTTTATTTTCAAACCCTTCAATCTTTTCATTAGTTTGTTTTTTAGTTTTTTTTTTTTTGCGAAAGATAATTTGGTCATTTATAACTATCTTCTTATTAAAAATTAAAGGGAGGGCAATAATAAGGCATAAGTGTTTCGTATTTGCCATGTTACATGCATACAACTATCTAGTCTAACAGCGCGGATAATAATAAATTAATGACTGTATTTTTTCCGGATAATAATTATTTGCTTTCCCTTGCAATGGTTGTCTGTATGCTTAACGACAAGGGGAAGCATTGAAGTGATAGATTCAAGTGGGATGCAATCACACGTGAATCCAGTATAGATAAGAGACAGTTTATTTTTTTAATGCATTGGAGGCATTCACAGGATACTGCCTTTATCTTCCTCTCCTCATGAAGAATAAACCATAATGCCCATTCGCCAATAGTTGAGCAGAAAAATTAGCTAAAATATTTGAGTTGTGAATAATCCCTGATCGCGCGCGCACATACATATATCTTGGTTAAAAAACTTATCAATTACTGTGGTGGAAGGAGAGGGAAGCACAAAGAAATATGATTGATGAAAATTTTGCCATTGCGTTATCTTTTTGAGGAGTAAAACACAGATGTAGGAACCAAGAGACAAGAAACAAGAGTGTCCAGTTTTGAGTAGGCGTGATTATATTGGTGGTGCAGAGCTAGAGGCAAAATCCTTGAATTAATAATTAGTGACTGCTTCTATACTCGTTGCAAATTTCAAGGGCCGAACAATTTAAGAAATGGACAGAGGCCACGGGATCCGTGTGGCGAGTTAATCACACTCATAACATGCTCCCCCTCGCCTCTTTCTTTGCCTTGGGTATCACTAATTGTCTCCTTCCATTCTCTTCTCTCCCTGTCACCTATACTTTCCTCAACTACACTGCCTTCTTTGCATTTCCCACTCAACAATTTGCCAACATGGTTCCCCATTTTACATTAATAATCCATATATTCTATTATTAATACTCACCTTGATTGATAAACCCAAAAATCTTCCATCAATGAGTTGGTGAGATTGTGAGTTGGGGCCTTGTGGGGCCCATTAGGCCCTGCGCTTCCATTTTTAGCAATTTGTTATTGCTCTGCCGGCAGCTTCACTTTTTCTCTCATTCATACGGTTCTTGAACAGTAAATTTTTATTGAAAGTGGATAATAAATTAATAATGCAGTGCTGGTTTATATTTATGAGTAAAAATTTGATCTTTTAAAATCTGAACTGTGTTTTTTCGTTCAAAAAAATAAAATCTGAACTGTGTTTCTGTGAAAATAATGGATGGATGGAAAGTTTGAATTTGTGAATTTTGCCCTCTTGTTTCTCTACCCCTAGAACGCTGAGCCAAAGCTAGAGTTACAACTACAATTCAATGGGCAGTACCTTTTGTCAGAAAGAGCATTCTCCTTATGAGCTGAGACTAGACAAGGCGAGAATTCAATAGCTACCGTACAGATCGTTGCGACTGAGAGATCCACGCTAACCATCTCGATACTACTCCCACCTGTCTCTCTTCTTCTTCTGCCCGCCGTTGCTCCCCTTCCTCTCTCCCCTGCCTGCTCAGACCCGTGATTTCCGACGCGCTTCTCATACTGTTCTCTCCCATGCTCCGCCACATCGGCGGCTGCCTATCCTGTTGCTGTCGCCGCCGCGACAGCGACGGCCCTGAGGAGGAACACGATGGTCTGTGGCCTTCCTCGCTCAGTATCCTCTCCGACGTTAGGTATAGTAAGTCCGACGGATGTACGTCGCTCCACCTCTGATGAAGCACGTTGGGCTTTTGAGACGGAGACACTATGATCCTGTGTTCCAACCTGTGCTGCTTCTCCTTTTCTGTCAGAAGTAATCCGTCTTTTCTCGGGCCATCACACTCACTACCTTGTCTTTCTTTACCGGCCTCGTTCCTCTTTCTCTTTGTCGACATTGCACTGTCCAGCGACATCCTAAACGGTGCCGTTTTCTTATACTGCGGCGTCGTCGACGCTTCACCATCCACGCTGATTCGATGCTGCAATATAATCTTAAAGAACCCACTATTGCCCCCTCCTCCTCCTCTTTCCCCTACGGATGAGTGCCTCCCGGAGACTCGTCTGAGAATCGAGTTTGAATCGAGCCGATTCTGTGAATCCAGTCCCAGGCCGCTCTCTATGTCATTGTCTGCACAATGCTCCGGACTTTCAGAGATCTCTTGTATCGGTGGAATGGGTTGATTCTGCGGCCAAACTTTCGCCTCCCCCACCAGGAGAATGTCTTCTGGGTCGACCCGGTACCGGCAGAGCGGACAAGTGGAATGTGCGTCCAGCCATGTATCCACGCATTCGACATGGAAAGCGTGCTTGCATTTTGGAAGCAGCCGAAGAACCTCCACGGACTCATACCGGGTCAGACAAACGGCGCATTCGAGCCCATCTTTTTGGCCCCTCAACGATCCGAATCTGAAAATGGGTAATGACTCGATCACCGCCCTGTCAATGCCGGAGTTCTTCCTCCCTGAATAGGCAGCGCTTGTATGTGAATTCCTCAGGGGTTCCTCCTCGGGCTTGCAGTGTTTAACATAGAGAAGAAGAAGAAAGGTAAGAAAAAACAAGGTGGTCATCACCCCCACTAGAACGACCACGCTCGGCTTAAACGGAGACCCCCTCCCTCCTCCACCACGGCGACTTTCCAATGGCGGCGGAGGAGGAGGAGATTTTCCCTCGCCTTCGTCATCAACGGTCAAAGCTGAAGACGGGGTTTCTGCAGCAGCAGCAGCAGACCCTGCAAGGAGTATGATTGTGGCGTGGAGGACGAAGAAGAATAAGAAAAATGTGGTGAATGGGTTGCAAGAAGGCGCACCACCCATGTGCGAGCGAGAGTGATGCTCGGTGTTACTGAGGAGACAGGGATCAACGAATAATATATTTTCATCTAAAGCAAGGACGGAGAGGTTGAGAGCTGAGAGGTGGCTATTTTGGGAGAGATTCTATGGTAGGGATTCAGAGGGGAAAGATACAAAGAGACACAGACAAATAGCGATAGGTTTAAACTAAACTCTCTAATAAATGCGGCTCCTACCATATAAATAAACACCCCCTACAGCTTATTGTTGTCCCGTAACTAGACAATAGTCGAAACCACATTTTTATCGGCAACAAATTTTTTTATCAACGCAGGAAAACGACACCGACCAACCTCAGACAATAATCGAACAATATCAACAGCGTTGGAAGTGGAGAGAAAAAAGAAAAAGCAGGGCCTGGTTCTTATGTTACAGGGGTTGTGTAGATCTATTTCTAACGGCTTTTCGTTATCAATCAGGGACGTCTATCATTCCCCAGAAGCAAAGACCCTGTCCACGTTTGTATAGCCTCTCGGCTTCTTCTTCTTCTTCTTTTTAATTTATAATTTCCCCCTATATATTTCCCTACGTTATTGCTATAATAATATAATATAATAGACCCATGCAGAGCCTCGATGTTGTATGCATTTGGAATTAGGTCTTCCTCTGTGTATCTGCATAGTCAAATGTAAAATATCTAATTGAAAGCTGTCACATTTTCATGTATTAATGATTAATTAATAGTTTATACTGATAATCTAAGCATTTATTTAGCAATGATGCATCAGCTCATTTGGCTGCAGAGAGGACCACTTTCTGCAAATTATGAGCCACCTGGTTATATATATATATATATATATATATTTATATTAAACGTGTATAATGCTTCACTGTCAAAATTGAAAGGTTTGAATTCAATAATGCTTGAGAAGGCTGCAACAGTGGTGGAAGAAGCCCATACATGAGTGGGTAGTGAGTGGGAGGGAGGCGTGGGACCTGTGACACAGAAAATAATGAAGCTTGAAAATATGGTATGGAAGCCTCGCACAGGAAGGGTCAATTACTCAATTTAAATGTCCATGGGAAAGATTCTGATATATATGCATCACAGTAGAGGGAAGAGGGTGCAACATCCTGAAGCTTTTTGCCGTGTCAATAATCATCAATCATGATTGCCATTTTCGGAAGATGCTGAAACTTTCACAACCCGTGTTGTTGGGAATAGAACCAAAGCTTTGTGGGCTGCAAAAACCACTACAGTGGACATCATGGAACAGACTACAAGTTACAGGAAACGCTTGAATATAACAAGGTTTTGATTTGTTGAATGTCCAGCAGTAGCTTCTAAAATCTGTGTAAATGGTGGAACTGTATGCTTTCCTATGTACAAAAGCAATGTCTATCTGGATAGTTGATGGCTGTTCTGCTCTTTTTGTCACTGTAAAACATTACCCCCATGTTTGGTTCAGGGTTTCTCCAGGGGAGGGGGGAGGGGGATCTTGTTTGGTTGGGGAAATTGGATGGGAGGCAAATTGTGTGGCCAATCTATCCTTATTATCTTTTCAATATTCCAGAAATACCCATGCTCTCAGAAAGGCATAGAGGTCGCTCTCTTTTCCGATCCTCCGCCTCCAGCCTTGCCACCGTCTCTGTCTCGAGCCTCTGCTCACTCTGTCAGTCTACGTCTACGTCCACCTCCTTCCATTTTTTCTTCTTCCAGATTTATGCGATCCATTTGGCTTCTATTTTGTTTTTTCTTGTATGAATGTATGACTCGTCATATTTATGCTCTCCGTTCACTTCCTTTCATTCTCCTTGATTGGGGAGAGTACACAATGGTGGTGCTTTGATTTATATGCTGGTGATTTTTGTTTCTTGCTTGATTCATGTGTAGGCGATTTTTTTTTTATTTCTTTCATTTTTTATTTATACTTGTTTCTCAACTCATGCAACTTGATCGATCATTTCCTTTGCAACGAAAAGCTTGATACGAAGGATGAATTATAACTTTGCTCTTGCAACAGAGCTAAAGAGAATCAAAAGAACAAAATTTATTTGATTCTACAGCGTTTAAAGACGTCTTTTGGAGCCCTCTAATCCTGAACATGTTATTTTGAACGTGTTTGCGGATATTTTCAACCTCCCCACATCTTACGAACCTATTATATAGGCTTAGACAACCAGCGAATGCATTAAGCCTTTAATCAAGAGTTTTTTTACTTCTCGTGTTATTTACTAATTTCTTGATTATTTTCTCGGTGCTAACATTGGGCTCTCTCATATCCACTTTCACCCAATGTTTGTCACGAGGACTCGTCTTTATAAGTCCACATGAGTTTTATTCTATCAAACTCAATTTCAGATTTCACCGCACTAAACTGTAATCAAGTCATTTCATCTTCTTAGTGATATTATATAATGGCAGAATCGCTTGACGTGGAAGAGGGATACCATCAAATTCAAAATGTCGAAACGATGGATGTCCAAGATTCTCACGTCTAAATGATGGAGATGTAAAAACCCCCAAGATTCAGGCCAAACATGTTTTGGGCTTAATCCTTTCCGGGCCTTTACCATCATTGGGCGTTCTTCTAAAACGGACTAGACGTTGGCGGGCTTTTAGCCGTTTGACAAATTGCTTCCTGTGCTTAATAACCCGATTGTAATAAATCCCGCACAAGGACGGCACCATGAATCTTATAAATTAAGTGTCCATTTGAGCACTCTCAATTTCACATTCAGAAAGAAAGATTTTATTTTTAAAATATTAAAAATTATTTGAATAAAATATTTAGTAAGAAAGCACATTTAAATAGTAGTTGAGAGTAAATCTGAAAAACGTAACTATTTAAAATTTTTGAAAAATGCAATGTTATTTGACTATATAATTTCAAGTTTAATCTCTTATTTTTTTATTTAAAAAAATTAATTCATTAAAAATATAATTATCATTTCAATAATAATAATTAGGTGTCAAGTTTTTCACATTATAAATTAAATAATTAATCATAGTAATTCATAGTATTATTTTATAATAAAAATCACAAATCGTTATCACATGTTTTAAAATTTCCAATTAAAAAGTACAAATAATTAAAGATTAAGTTTTTAGCATTATAAATCAAATTTTATATTATTTAAAATCTTTATTATATTTTTTAAATATTTTAAATATATTGTATTTGTATATTAAAAATTATAAATCATCATAAATTAATGTCTTTTTTTATAATTGTATATTCAAAAACATATTTTATTGTTATAATTCAAATAACTTTTAGTGTATTAAACTGATTTTTTAAAAAATATATTCAAACATAAATTTCATTACAACAACTGATTTTTATTAAATAAATTTTTAACAAATTGAAACTAAACACACATTAAATCTTTTTGTCGTTTTCAATTCCCTTGAAATTATCACTTTGTTGCGTGAATGTGTGGAGGGGTGGCATTATCTTTATATTGACACACGAGGGACAGCATGTGAACTGCCTTTGCTATACAAATTAATTAGACGGGTATAAACACAGAAAGTAAAGAACATATCCTCGTTGTTTATTTAAAAAATAATACAAATAAGAATTGAAATAATATATGGAATCAACATGGCACAAATATTTTTCAGTTGTCATGTGACGCCCGTGCTTCTGCTATACAGCAAACAAGACCACCAGCGAAGGGGATGAAAAAAAAAAGACCACCGTGTTTCTACTGGAGCCTCTTTATTTACCATTCTTAAAAACTGTTTTTTTATTTTAATATTTTTAAAACAAAAAAAAAACTTGCTTGGTTAATGATTTTTGAATTTTTTGTTTTGAAAACAGTTTTTTTTGTTTTTAAATACAATAAAACCAAAACAATTTTTAGCTACTTCTGTTCCTTTTTTTTTTTAGTTTTACAAAGAAAAAACAGGAAAGAAGAAATGAGAATTGTTCTCGTTAATGGCAAACATTGTAATTTCATCCCAATAAAAAAGAATCTCCCATTTCATAAATTTTTAAAACTGTTTTTCGATTACTATTACTAAACAAGTTTTTTTTATTTGTTCTCAAAAAGAGTTTTTAAAATTGTTTTATAAAAGAACTTTTAAAAACAAAAAATAAAAACAACACCCAAACAAGCCCTAATGTTCCCATCTTTGCCTTAAAAGTGCACTCCGTGTCTCGCTGACACACTGATGCTTTTATCTCTACTTTTTACCATCCTCGCAGCTTCTCTTTCCCTACGAATTTTTGAAATCTGCACGGTGGAACCATATACGGGGCTCATTTCCACTGTTAAAGGAACTAAAACGGCCTTGGCTGCATCATTAGCCCCCTGATTGCTCGCTCCAAATTAATTAAAAATAAAGAAAGAAGGGTTATGGATCTGAAGCTTAAAAGATAACGCGGGTTCTATATTTTGGGCTGTTTCGGGTTTTGGTGAATGGGAATGTATAGTTTGGGGCTCGTGATCAAATCAGCTGATAGCAGGGTGCGAGTGCAAGGTGGGGTCTTGATCGTTGCTTTATATTCTCATTCACTGCGAGGCTCCGGATATGCTAATTGCCCTGTGGATACGTCACCATCATGAAGTATCAAGCAAGGAATTTGGATCATATATGTATATTTGAAGTGTTATTGATTAGTGAAAAGATCGAGTGTGTCTCAGATGAAACAGGAGCTGCATGCACTCCTTTATGGTGCTAATTACTGCCACGTACGTCCAAAAGTGTCAGGTTCCAATCCCGCAGCACCGATCACTGAGCATCAGTACATGAGATGCAATGGCATAGTTAAGGAGAAAGGGATAGATCTGCAGCAATATGCAAAATGCATGGCGAAGCTCATAAATAATGACAATACTTACATCATGTCAATAATGTTGATTAGTAAAGTGCCTCAAGGGATTGTGTGTGATGTTCATCTCATTTTCTGGGGAGAAGGGCTTCCACTGATGTGTAACTTTGCCACACAAAACCAAGGCTCATGCACAATAACACAACGTATTAACGTATATCGGAGGTAGCAGGTTGAGAGTGACTGAATTACAAAATTTGAATAATTGAAGGAGACATTTAGAGAGAGACAAAAATAGAGGTGTATTGGGATCAGGAGATGGCTCCTCTTCAATGGAAAGAGAGTGCTGCAAATCTAACCTATCATATTGAGTTTAATAATAATTTTAAAAAGGAAAAATGTATATTTTTATTTTTAAAATATTTTTCAAAAAATACCCAACACCTTAAAAGTTATCAAAGTGAAGTATTTTTGTCTTTACCATTAATGTTGAAATTTTAATGGAAAGAGCAATATGTTTCATTTTAATAACTTTGAGAGTAAAATTACTCTAACAAAAATATCAAGATAATAAATGCTATTTAAAAAATATTTTAAAAATAAAAATACACCTTAATCTTTTTAAAAGTATGTATTCATTTACGTTGTTAAAATTTAAAATTGTTTGGAGAAATTTAAGTCAAGTGGAAGGTATGTTTGTATGATTTTTAAAATGAATGGAGCGAGAGAGGAGGAGGGTGGAAGACTGTTACGGCATAAACCTTCTGAAGCTCCGTCAGTGGTTGCAGTTGCACTGACACCCGATGTTGATATTACCTGCCTTGTCTCTCCTTCCTCCACGGGGCCCACCCGACATCTTCACATGCCTTTTTCCCCCAACATATCCTCCTCTCTTTTTATTCTTTTTCATTTTAAATAACCGTAACACCTCATTTCCCCCGTACGAAAAAAAAAAATATTTGCATCCCATTTTGTTTGGACCGGGATTGTCAGTCACTTTCAAGAAAAGTCAATATCATCCATCCCTGTTTTTAATACAAACTATATTAAAATAACCGATACACAACCGACTACACGAATGATAATCTGTATAATTTATTAATTTCAAGCTTTCTGCAAAGGCACAAAATCTATTTTAATCCCACGTACATGTGGTAGTGTATTATAAATAATACATATAGACATGAGAGTTGGTCAACATTTTTCCAAATCATTGTTATTGTTTTTAATTAATATTTCACTGGAACGAGACAAACAATGAACCAGCGTGCAGCTAGCTTGTTTGTGGATTTGCAAAAATACAGAGCCTTTGCGTTATTGGTTGCCGTAGAACTAAATTTTTTTCACATGTTGTGTGTGATAGGTCACGATGCATCTGGAGACGAACTTGTAGTACGCAGCGTCAACTTACTGCTTGTCCGACTATCCATCCACCAGCCCAGCAGAGGGGAAACATGCATGTCTTCATGCGCGCGCCCACATATATATTTACATACATGCATGTTCAACCGTGTAAAACCCTCCCTCTCCTTGTCTTTTTCATATCCATGCCATCTATAAAAATCATATCATTCTTGAAGGCTTACTAAAATTACACGACATTAGTTATAGGGAGTGCGATGGATGCTTTGAGGTGACGAGATGGCTGTGACTAGCGATGTTGTCGGCTTAGTATATTGCTGCCTGTCCTCTTGTGATTCCCTCTATACAAAGTTGTCGGCGCCGCCGTAGGAGACTGTTTGTATAAAGTAACAGTGCCCTTTTCCCCCTCCTTGAAAACGATTGCTTCCCTTTTATTTTCCCTTTCACACTAGACATCCCACTCTCTCCCCACCATGAACCTTTCCACAAATCATCTCATTAATACTATTCCCCACTTCCTTCTCCTTTTTCCCTAGCTACCTTTCTCCCTTCCCTTAAATTGATCTCTCAACGTGGGCTTTTCATGATGAGGTTGCACTTGCACCAGCAGAAGTAGCTTTTTTCATCTTGTTTATCACCTCGAAGAAAATTAATGATTTCTTTATCAAATATCAAATTATCGAGGTCTCTGTTTTGTTTTTGTTTTTCCCAAAAAACTAATTACTCCACACACACCCCTCAACAGTCAAAATAGTTTGGAAAAGCCAGCATACAGACGCGGTTAAAGCTAAAACTATTGATGTTCGTTTGTCCACAAATCAGAACAAATTAAGGTGCGTAATGGGTGTAGTCATTTCTGATTTTTGACCCCCAGCTCTCTGTATTGTACACACAGGCACTAGTTACTCTGATGATCTGATCTGATCCGCAGGTCTCTCAGGTTTCAGAGGTCACAAGTCGTTTAACCTTTGCTCCCATCCTGTCCTGATCCTCCCCGCTCCTTCTTCCTCCCTCCCCCAATTCTATTTTATTTTATTCTATTTTCTGTCTGCTTTCTTTTCAGAGGTCTTCCACAAGAAAAGAAAAGTACCCGTTTGTGTCTGTCGGGCTCATTCTCTTCTACTACAGTTCAAGCCTTCTTCTACCTTTGTCTTCTCTTCGCTCCTCATCCCTGTTCTTTTCCACTCTGTTTTTCACTCTGTGTCTCCCATGTACGTACTCTTCCACCCCAAAAGCTGCCCATCACTCCTCACGTCCTAAACCTTCTCTACTTTTCACTTCTCATTGTCTCTACGTCCTTGTTTACGTTTCTTGCTATATCATCGTATCCTTCTCACCTTAAACAAGAAACCGAGATGCTTCCTTTCAGGAGTTTCTATGGGTTCGAGAGCTGGTCAGATCAGCCAGGCTCGTCCGTCAAGTCCGTGGAATTGGATAACGGGAAAACAGTTCTGAACTCCACTTCAAAATCTGATCAGAGGAAATCCATGGAAGCATGCAAGAGCCATAGAGAAGCTGAGAGGAGACGCAGGCAACGTATCAACGCCCACCTCTCCACCCTGCGCTCTCTCCTCCCTAACGCCGTAAAGGTGAATATTCCTCCTTCCTCTTCCACTTGCCCTTCCAGCACCTTAAGGTCTCCCGGGTAATTTTAACAATGTCTTCGCCGGTGCAGTCGGATAAGGCTTCGTTGTTAGCGGAGGTGGTCCAACATGTCAGAGACCTGAGGAAACAGGCCGATGACGCGGCGCGCCATCACAACGGAGACTTGTCGGGCAGCACTATCGGCGGGGAATCCGGGTCGGGTCCGGGAGACTCGGAGCAGTGGGCGTTTCCGGGAGAGTTGGACGAAGCATCTGTGAGCTATTGCGATGGAGCTGGGGAGAGGAAGCTGGTGAAAGCCACTCTCTGCTGCGAGGACCGGCCCAACCTGAACAGAGATCTAGAGGAGGCGATCCGGTCGGTTCGGGCCAAGGCGGTGCGAGCCGAGATGATGACCATTGGTGGGCGAACCAAGAGCGTGGTGATAGTGCAGTGGACTGGCGGAGAAGAGGCTGGAGCCCTGGAACGGGCTTTGACGGCTGTGGTAGAAAATCGGGCCCCCATGGGCCCAAGACTGGGCCGAATGTCTCTGGGCCACAAACGGGCTCGACTTTGTTATGGTTTACCAAATGACGGGGAAAGCGGCTTCTTGATGGGAACTGCTAACATGTGATGTAAAAAAAGAAAAGGGTGAAGATGCGTTTTTGCCCTTGCGAAAGCCAACCAACAATCTAATGTATTTGTTATAGCAATTTTATAGTAAAGTAATTAAAATGAAATATTTTTATTTTTTTGTCAAATTTTTAACATTGATCATTACATTTGAGTCACAGTTAATATTTTTAATGATTAATGTTAGAAATTTAATAAAAAAGATGAAAATATTTTATTTTAATTATTTTAAATATAAAATTATTCCAACAAGATGTTGAGTGGTGCAAAAATGCATCTTTATCGGGAAAGAAATCTATAGGTAGGGTCATATCATTTAAAGCTGAAAAGTGGAAATTCAAACGATCTACGTACTTTCTTCCCCTAGTCCCTGCCACCTTGTTTAGTTTTCGCAGCTAATGCTTGTAACTAATTCATTTAGCCAAAAATTTCTATGGAGGATTATATTATGTAAAAATTAAATGGTGAAGTGTTTTTTTTTTTAACAAGCAAATAGCGAAGTTGGATAACTAGCTGATGATATTAATCATAGAAACCCAACAAAAAGAAAAAAAAATAAAAGGAATGAAAATGGAGAATGGTTTGGATTTAGATGTGGGTACTTGATTCGTGATAGCAAGATCCAAAAAAGAAGAGCCGAAGGGATAACGGTGCCAGCAATGAAGTGACACGAGAGAGTGGTAGTTGATGTCGTGCTTCGTCTGGAAAGATGTCCGATGCAATGGGATAACGATTTGTTCGGTGACGTGTAACACTAGGATAAGTCTATATCACCGAGCATTTTTTTTTTTGAATAGAAGGTGACACGGTTAGCCCAAACGGATAATTTAAATTTTATCAGCGTATAGAATATTGATAAAATCAAAAGGTGGGTTATAAAAAAATCTAAACATTTAAATTACTGATGAATGCTAAATGAGCCATTCAATTAATATATTTTATTAGCTTTTTTAAAAGTAAAAAGTGATTGTCTAATCTTTCATAATAAGTTTTTTGATGTTGTTGATAGCTACAGCAGAATGATTAGTAGAGAACTCTTTGTGTATAAATGTGAGCGTCTTTGTAGAGTCTGTGTAGATATTAACTTTATTAAATTTCATTACCCAACAAATTTTGAGACCTTTTAAAATGCTTATAAGTTCAGCTGCCGTACTTGATTAATAACTGATGTATTTGGTAAACCTTTTGATCCAGTTTCCTTGATCATTTCAAATGAGATCTCCGCAAAAAGCCACACCTTAATTGTTAATAGAGTCATCTCTATCAAGTCAAATTCGATCTTTTTTAGAAAAAACATCATTTTACTTTAAATCTATCACTTTGTTAGGTTAAGAACTTAATTTCATATTAAAATATTAATCATTGTAAACAACTTAGATGTTAGTGAATGCAATATCATGTGAGGCGTTTAACTTACTGTCGTCTCAAGAAGCACGCACATAACAAAATCCTAATAATTAATCATTAAAGATAAGATTGACTTAAATTTATTTCTGGAGATAAAAGTGGGCACGGTCGCACGGACGCAAGGTGTGTGAGGAAGTGGTTGAATTGTCCAAAAAAAGAGGAAGTGGTTGTATTATGCTGTAGACGGGAAAAGATGGTGTGGCTAACCCGTGACCGTGAGTTACCAATCTGGATTCTGCAGTACTCTACTGTTAGAGAAGCTTTCCAAGATGGAGATAAAACAAATGATAAAAAATTTTATACTTGGTAAATGCAGGCTCCAAAACCGGCACGCTTGTCCGATCAACGCTTGCTCTTGTGCGTTCGTCTGTCCATGGCGACTCCTCTCGGTGCTTACCCTTTTCTACTCCAAACAGCTTCTCCTTGGGTTTCTCCGGAACAATGCCTCGCCTTAATTTCGTCAGTTTCTCTAATCTCATCCTGATCTTAAGCTTTTGTAATTGAAGGCCTATATGCTTCAATTATCTGTTGTTGAAAATACTCTATCAGCCTGTCGATTTAATACTATTGTTTCATGGATCTTTTCGTGTTCATCTTGTTCCTGGCTGATTTTTTTTTTTTTCCCACTCTTGCTTGGTGTTCAGGCGAAACGGGCAAGAAGTGAGGCAGCATTCTCGCCTTCGATCAAGTAAGTTGGGCTTTAAAATACCGGCTCAAATGGATTGAAATTCAACGGAAAATGATATTGCTAAGATTTGCGCTCACTCAAAAATTCGAACCTGTGTTTTATAACTTTGTCAGCTACTTTGGTGTTTGAAGAAAGGCTCCCCCTCCTAGCTAGCTTGTGGCTATAAATTGCAAGGAATTCGGCCATTTTAACGAACTCTTCTGGCCAGAGAACTTCCATTTATTTGCTATCTTTTCTTTTCTTTAGGGAGAACCAACCAGAGGTTCCAAATTATCTCGGATTCAGTCAAGAGTACAAAGGTCCAAGCCTTGGAACCACGGTTGAAACTCATGATAGCAAGGACTTCTTTGGTTTGATGAAACACAGGTTTCTGATTTTCAAGAAGCAGAAATACACGTGAGTAGCAGTTGGTTGGTATTTGTTCTTTGTTATCTGTGTGAAGTATCTTATTTATAAGGCAAGTTGCATTTGGACAGGATAGAGTTCGGGCATTTTCAAGCTCTCGCTGAAGCTCAGTCTCCCAAGGTGGTATCACGAGTCTATACTTTCTACTTATTATCATCTTGCTAATCTTGTTTTAGGTCCATTTCAGTGGTTCTTCATTCCTACGCCGCTTCATATTTTAGTAGATGAACATATAGAAGGTTCATAACTGATAAATCCAAGCACAGTTTATGGTAATTGCTTGTGCAGACTCTAGGGTGTGCCCCTCTAACATTTTAGGATTTCAACCTGGAGATGCCTTCATGATTCGTAACATCGCCAATCTTGTTCCTCCCATGAAGGTAATTTTATTGTTGCTTCTGATTTTTGACGGCCAAATGATTGCCAATTTTCGCAAGGCTAGTCTAAAATGTTGACCTCGTTTTTTTTTTTCTTTTTGGAGCCAGAACGGACCAACTGAGTGTAATGCTGCACTTGAGTTTGCTGTAACTATTCTCAAGGCACGTACTTATCTATAGAACTTTTGAGTAAAGTGTAAATATTGGCACTGCAGAACTCAGTGATATATCTCAGAGAAGAAAGAATTTCTGGAATTAGATGATACAGAGCAAATGATGAAACACCTCCCTTTATGATTGCAAAACCTGCATAGTTGTGTGATTGAAAAATGTTTGGTGCTGTTTTCAGGTTGAAAATATCCTAGTTATTGGTCACAGCAATTGCGCTGGAATTGAAACGTTGATGAATATACAAGAGGATGTGGAATCAAGGTTTGTTAATTTGATCACGATTATCTCTTAACAAAAAAACCAAGAAAGCTCAGGAGTTCTGATATAGTTCATTCATTGGAATTCTCGTGTGCCGCAGGAGCTTCATCCACAGATGGGTTGTTAATGGAAAAGTTGCCAAGGATAGGACGAAAGCTGTCACAGCTCATCTTAGCTTTGGTCCGCAATGCAGATGGTGTGAGAAGGTATAGTCTTTAGCAAGGGAAATTCAAACACAACTACCAGTTTTTTTTGGGAAAATCACAATGAATGACAGACTCAGATCAAAAATTAAATTTTAGTGTAAAAAAAATCACCTCCCATTTTTTTTTAAATATCTTTATTATCACTGGTGACAAATTATTTATTTATTTATTTTTGAGATGGCTAGAGGGATTGAACTCACAGTCTCTTGGCCACTCTAAAAAATAGCAAGTTACTAATTTCTTTTATTATATAATGCAAGTTTATATATATATATATATATTAATTTTGCTTTCACTTTTCATGCATATGCTTGTCATGAGTTAATTGTTATTTGTCATTTTATAAATAATTACTTATTAAATTATTAATGGGACTTATTAAAAAATTTAATAGACACTAAATTTTATATATGTTTTTTTATTTTTATCATCAAAAACTTACATGTTAAAAGCTTACGTAAATTTATTATTTTATTAAAATTTACTTGTTAATGTGTTAAGACAAAATTTCAAAATAAGCAATGGATTTGTCATTTCACAAATATTTATTTGTTAAATTATAAATGGGGATTTGTTAAAGAAATTTAATATGAATTGATTTTTTAAAATGTTTAATTGTTTTTACTACAAAAAATTTACTTAATAAATTGTTAATGAAAATTTTTAAAGCTAATAATGAGATTTGTCATTTTACAAATGATTACTTATTAAATTATCAATAGGAACTTGTTAAAAAAATTTAATGTAAAGTGATATTTTATAAATATTTACTTATTTTTATTACTAAAATTTTACACTTCAAAAACTTATGTAAACTTATAATTTTGTTAAAATTTACTAATCAAATTATTAAAAGAAATTTTTAAAGCTAACAATGAAATTTATCATTTTACAAATAGTTACTTAGTAAATTAATAATAGAGACATGTAATTTTAGTGCATATTAAATTTTTTTAACTTTTTTTTTACTTGTAACATCAATACTTGTCAACTTGTCATTTTACAAATATTTATTTATTAAATTACTAATAAAACTTGTTAAACAAATTTAATATGCACTGGAATGACAAGTTTTCATTTATAATTTAATAAGTAATCAATTGTGAAATGACAAGCCTTATTATTGATTTTAAAATTTTTTCTTGATAATTTAACAAATAAATTTTAACAAAATAATAAGTTCACATAAATTTTTAATGTGTAAAATTTTAGTAATAAAAATAGGTAAACATTTGTAAAAATTGCTTCATATTAAATTTTTTTAATAAGTCCTCATTAGTAATTTAATAATCAACTTTTTATAAAATGACAACTCTCGTTACTAGTTTTAAAAATTTTCCTTACACTTTGATAAGTAAATTTTAGTACAATAACAAATTTATTTAAGCTTCTAACATGTAAATTTTTGATAGTAAAAATAAGTAAATATTTAAAAAAATAATTTCATATTAAATTTATTTAACGAATCTGCACTAGTGTATATTAAACTTTTGGAAAAATACTACTTTCATCGTTGCACTTTATTTAAGCTTTGGTACAAGTTATTACATTTTTGTTTTTAATGTTTTATATCTCTATACTTTTCTCCCTATGCAACATTGGTTCTTACATTTTCATAGGGATATTGATGTAGTTTAAACGATGTTAATAATGCTGATAGTTAATTAACACTGTTAATTTTATACTTATGTGTCAAATGGATGCTAATATAAAATTATTTTAATAAGCAAAAATTAAAAAAAATTATGCTAATGAAATCAAAATACTTACCTGGACATTTTGAATTATCAACAAGACGCACAAATTTCATGTAGTTTTTTTTAAAATTATTGCTCACTAAAATTTTTATATTAATGTTAATTTGACACGTAAATACAGAATTAATGATATTAATTGATATGTTAGTATTATTAAAATATTGCCTGTGTCACGCCAGTGTTTTTTGAAAAATGTAGGGACGCATGCGCGCGATTTGTTGCGTGATGGGTAATTTTATTTTTCCACACTAAAATTTAATTATATTTTAATTCCTAAGTCCTATAGAGTGAATTCAGGCTGTGAACAAGGTGCTCCACAAGTCCTTTATTGTGATTTTCCCTGTTTCTATGCAGGAAGTGCATGAAAGAATTAATTCTCTTTCAATACTTGGGTAAATTACTCGAATTTTGGTGGTTGTGTTATTGAATGGTTGCAGGAGTCTATAAAGCAATCATTATTGAACCTGCTGAGTTACCCTTGGATAGAAGAAAGAGTGAAAAAGGAGCTGCTTTCTCTTCATGGAGGATACTACGACTTTTCTAATTGCTCCTTTGAGAAATGGACACTTGATTGGAGAGGAAGCGATGTTCAAGATGAACAAGCAGAACGCAGCTATGCTGTTAAAGACCAAGAATTTTGGTGTTGATGTTGTGGCTTTGTCACGAAACTCAACTTGGGCCACATAACCTATCGCCAGATGTTACTGCTAATTGCTGATGGCAACTGCTTTCACAGTAAGAAAACTTGTAAACTAATTAAGCCCCCTACTTCAAGACAAAGTACTGCGCGCCTGTATTATATTCAATTTTATAAGATATGTGAAGAATTCGGATACATCCGAACATACTCATTTATTTCCCTTATTTTTCCTTTTTTTTTAAAAAAAAACAGAGGCTAGCAAAAGCTTCCCCCCCCCTCCCAACGCATAATTGGTATTTTTATCATTATGGATTAATTTATCCAAAAGATAACTTAAGACCATCTCCAGAAGGTCACTTAATTTCCATCAATTATTTTAAACACTTTACTAACAAATCCTTTGGAAATTTTTAGATAATAAATGTGGCAAAAAAAAAGTGGTGTGATATTAAACCCCCAAAAGTAATTTTTAGGAGTAAGTTTTTTTTAGAAGGAAGGGGGGAAAAAACGCTCAAAATCTCAGCAGGTGGGACAACGGGTGAAAAAATCATTTTTGAAAGAGTGGGAAGCAAACGCTCCTGTCAGCCGAAAGGAAAAAACAGGTAGCCCTAGCCAAGGGCAGCAGCTGACCGTGCATCCTGGTGAAGTAACGCCGAACAAGTCATGATCTCGCAGTTCTTCGTTTTGTCACAGCGTGGCGATAACATCGTCTTCGAGACTGTAAAGCTCTTCTCCCACATGGACGTACCTTCCCCTTCGCGATTTTTTATTCCGGTATACTTTGTTTTAGATCTGATGCCGTTCTATCCGCTGTTCTTTTAAACCGCATGATGACTTCGTTTCTGAGTATTTTATATTCTAGTTCCAGTTTTTCTTGTTTTTGACTTCGTTTTTACTTGCCGATCCATAATAAACTTCTCATACTGATTCAAGTTTACTTCCAGATCTATCTTGCTTGAATTATCTACTCAGCTAATTCCTTCGCGGGAAGATTGGAAAAAGAAAAAATGTGCATTCTGTGCTATATAGACAGGGGATCATCATTCTTAGTCTAGCAATCCACAAAATTGCGAAGCTGTTTTACTAACACCGACAACAAGGTCGTTTTATGTCATGATGTCTAAGTGTGAGTAGATTTGAGTGATATGAGAAGTTATATATCAAATAAAATTGAGTTTAAGAGCTAATATATAAAAGGTGGAAGGATTGATAAACTTGAGTTATGATGTTTTGAGTAAGATGTTGTGTTTCTTTCATTGCTCTTCATCCATTTATTCTTTTCCTCTTTCTGAATAGTGACTAAAAAGTAGTATCAGGGTTAGTTTTTGCTAGAGACTTGGATGAAAAAGAATGAAACAAGAAGCTCGTATTGCACACTCGTCCAAAGCTCATAATGGGACTGCCCTTGTTGAAGCTTTAGGGACTTGTGTGTGCACCACTTGTTTGAATCTCAAAATTGGGCAGGCTTTGCTTACAAGACTAGAACTTGGCGTTTGAAATGTCTTTGATATGAGAAGCTTATGGACTCATATTTTAGCGGATATTGTGTAGATGTCAACTGTGAATGTGTTGAACTGATGCAAGAAGTTTTACATCACATAAAGTTGACCTTAATAATTAATATATAATATAGTGAAAGTATACATAAACTCAAAACAAGTTAAAATGTGGTGTATTTCTATTGCTCTTTGTCCATTTGTTTTCTCCCTTTTTTTCAGGCTGTTGCACCCCATTCTTAATAGTTTAAGAATTCATGAAATAGCTGCGAGTCAAATTTTTTTGTTGATGCTTCTTGCTTTATCTTCTCATCTTTATCTCAGAGGTCACGTTTGTATGTGGTTTTTGTTTTTATGTTAATTTGTGTGATTGAAGCTGCTCAGAATTTTCTGTATTGTTTGACAAGTCACTTGAATTTTATGGTGTTAAACTATGATGCTGCATGAGATGCAAAACATAGTCAACTCTAACAAGCAAGTGGTATTGTAAATAAGGAACATAATAGAGTTAAAAGCAATATGATTAGAGTGAAGTATGAGTACATTATCATACAAGATTTCTTGTTTTTCTCTACTTATACCTATCCTGATTCTTTGTAAATATTGCCATCAAATCCTCAATGCTTATGGCTGCCTATTTCTTTCAATTGCAGATCGTGGAGATGTGCAAAATGGAAGTGCAGAGATTTTCTTCCGCAAAGTAAAGTTTTGGAAAGAGGATGGGCAGGAGGATGCACCACCTGTCTTTGTAGGTATTATTTTCCCGAATCAGGAAGTGCATTTTAATGTTTAAACTACTATCATTTGATGGTTTCGATAATATTAAATCTTAATCCTCAAACATGGAAGTGCCTTGAACAGCATGTCTTTTGATGTTCTCATGAATTCATCTTTTATACAATATATGAAAAAAAAATATATATATATATATATATATCACTTTATGTCTTTGCTTATCTGGTATAAAATGTTGACTTATACATGATTTTTTTTTTTTTTTTGTGTTGATAGAATGTGGATGGTGTGAACTACTTTCATGTGAAGGTTGTGGGACTATTGTTTGTTGCAACCACAAGGGTTAATATGTCGCCTTCCTTTGCCTTGGAGCTTTTACAAAGGATTGCTCGTGTTATTAAAGATTACCTTGGGGTTCTCAATGAAGACACATTACGAAAGAACTTTGTGCTTGTGTATGAGTTGCTTGATGAAGTCATTGTGAGCCTTGTATACTCTTTTTTATCTTATTCTTCATCAAATATGGAAATTTCAAACCAACCTAAAGTTGTTTGAAACAAATGAAAAATGCCCAATCACATGCTCGTGATACAACTATACCACTATTGTAATATGGCTTGTGAAAAGTTCCCCCTTGAAATCCTCACTAACATCAAAGTTGATGACTTTCTCTGTTGCAGGACTTTGGTTATGTTCAAACGACATCTACAGAGTTGTTGAAATCCTATGTTTTCAATGAGCCAATTGTGGTTGATGCTCCTCGTTTGCCACCTCTTGAACCTGCTGCAATTTTTGCGGTAATCTTTATAAGGCACTTTATGGTATTCTATGTATAATAATTATTTGCACATTTGATGCTATTAATCCTCAAAATTGATTGCTTTCAGCAAGGGCTAAAAGAATGCCAGGTATAGCTGTCACAAAATCAGTTATAGCTACGGAGCCTGGGGGTAGAAATAGGGAGGAAATCTTCGTTGATGTAATTGAGAAAATCAGCATCACCTTCAGCTCCAGTGTGAGTACATGTATCATAATGTGACTTGAAATCCATGATAATTATTATTTTGGCATTGCTTGATCTGTTTGGCATTGCTTCATCTGTTGGGACTCACAAATGTTTCAATTATTGCCGAATAGTTAATGTTTGGCACTCCACAAAAACAGAGAAATATTTAATCCAAGTGCTATTAAGTTTAACAAATTATCTATTTATACTGTTTTCTTAAATGCAAAGTGGAAGGGCTTGGCCCCTTTCATTCATTATTTTGTTTCTTTCCAGATGCTCTGATGATTTACCCTTCTAAGAGCTCTCACAAGCATCTCAAACTGAGTTGCATTACTACATAATTCGAGATTATGTTTGACATGATTTTATAATTCTGTTCTTGTTGAGCTATTAGCTACTGCAGAATAAGTTATCAAAGCCATGTCTGGGATAATCTGTATCAAGTTTTTCAGGCCTCAAGGATTGGTATTTAGGTGGCAAGGTGTTGAAGTGTAACATTATGAGTGTTGTTGCATTAATTTTTTCTCAATGAATGTTCTATGCAAGTTAAATCTTCCTTTTTGTTTCCTTTATTTCATTTGCACTGTCAAGTAGTTCACTTATTATATATTTTATTAATCATTTTAACATATTTTATGTGATTTGTTTAGGGATATATATTGACTTCAGAAATTGATGGCACCATACAAATGAAAAGCTACCTTACTGGCAATCCTGAAATTCGATTAGCTCTTAATGATGACCTTGCCATAGGAAGGGGACAGGGACCAATATATGGTATTTTTCTTTTCCCCCTCTATTTGGTGTGGTTTGGCATTTCCGACTCATTGCTTATTTCTCCAGTTGGAGTGTTGAACAATTGTGCTTTGGGTCTGTTCCTGCTTCCTCATTGTGTGGATAAGTAAAGAGAATTTTTTTTTTTTTTTAAGGTTCTGGAAATTAGATACCATATGATGATGTGCAACAGTACGTTTGTACATTGGATCCATTCCTTCAGGTTTTCAGTGACAATATTTCCTCAAAATGATGGTCAGATAATGACCTATTCTGTGAAGTAGTCATTTAAGCTTTAGAAAGAACCACCTCATTTACTTAAACTTGGAGGGTTACTGTTAATTATATTCTTACTAAAATGAGGAGATATTTTTCTTTCATTAGAGCTGTAAATTTCACGTGTTTCAATGATTGCTTACGTGAACCTTCTTCATGAGCAGGTTATCGTAGTTCATCTGGTTCTGGAGCCGTGATATTGGATGACTGTAATTTCCATGAGTCTGTTCGTCTTGATAGTTTTGATGTGGACAGAACGCTGTCTCTGGTGTGTATAAAAAATGTGGTTTTATGGGTTATGAAATTTCACATTATAAGGTACTTTACTAGTTTGCTCCCTCTTAATTATAATTTAATGGTTGTCTCCTATTGCTAATTGTAGATACCACCAGATGGTGAGTTTCCTGTAATGAACTATCGTATGACTCAAGAGTTCAGGCCTCCTTTTCGCATTAATGTTTTAATTGAAGAAGCAGGGCCCCTCAAGGTTACATCAAAATTTCCTTTTTTATTTTTTATTAAAAAGAAATCTTCTTCCCATCCTTCATCCTTTACGTCAAATATTTCATTTTCCCATCTAGAACTCACTTGTGAAATGGCAATTGCAGGCTGAGGTGATTCTTAAGATATATGCTGAGTTTGGTTCAAGTGTAACTGCAAACACTGTCAAGGTGCAGATGCCACTACCCAAATATACGACCAGGTTTTGTTCCATTTTTCTCTAAATCACTTGATAAGAGACTTATCTTAGACAATGATTTGCAGTTGATTAAAATCTTTGCCTAGTGTTGATGGGTACTCAAGTGGGATGGATAATGTTCTCCCAAAAGTTAGCTGCTAAGGCGGGAGAGCTGACTCGCAAATACTGTATAATCCTATATTGCTCCATGTGGGGCTTGGGCATCCAATACTACGTTAGTCTCTATCAATTGTCCCTTTTGGAGAGCTGATATCTTGGCAACTACTCTCTAAGATACGTCACTTGACATCCTCATTGGTTAGAACCTCTTACCAGTTAGAATCCTCCATAGGAAAGGTTGACCACCAACTCTGATGCCAATTGATGGTTACTCAAATGGGATGGGAATCCGTCCCCAAAAGCTAGCTATTAAGGTGGAAACCAACCCTATTAAATACTTTATAGGGCATCCCATACAACTCCATAAGGGACAGGGCATCCCTTGTTAGCTTAGTTTCCATCAAATTTGATGCAATGGATTTGTTTCAGAATTGAAGTTCGAGGAAATGTTTTGGCCAGGGTTTTGTCTTTTTTATAAATATGTACTCTTGATGGAATCACTAGAGCTTTCCTGGAAAACAGTGGAAGTCTAGCGAAATTTATCTTGTATTTTAAACTGTAAGGTGGGAGAACTTTTTTAAATTAGCTTCAAAAGCCTCCATGAGGCAATGTAGTGCATGAAATTTTTTTAGTATGAAATGAAAAGAATTTCAAAAGAATCCCTTTTAAGGTTTCAAGGAACAATTTCTGTTGATCAGTGTTCAAAGAGTGCATCATAATGGTGCATTCTATATGTTAAGGCTTTAAAGAAATTAAAAAAGTTTCAAAAGAATGCATATTAAATAGTTTTGCTGAGGATTCTTAACTTCATTAGAAAGATAAGCGGACCATGCTTGTTAATTTTTCTTTACCTGTGGGATAAGTTCGAGGAACCTGGGAAAGTAGCGATTCCTTGCATAAGAAAAGAAATGCATAGAGCCGTTACTCTTCACTAGTGTTATAGTGTCTGATATAAGTTATTACCTGGCGTTTTCTCAGGGTTAATTTTGAGTTGAACCCTGGAGCCGTTGGAGAAACAACTGACTTCAAGGAAGCAAATAAGAAGCTGGAGTGGAGTTTAAAGAAGGCAAGGTTTCTTGTCAATCTCTCAAAAGTTATCTATCTTAAGAAAATCTATGCATTGGCTAAACACAGTTCTGTTCACATTTTTAACATGAGAAAATATTGACCGACAAGTGCTACCAAACAGATTGTTGGTGCATCTGAGCATACACTACGTGCAAAGCTAACATTTTCTCAGGAATCACATGGTATTATCTTTTTAATTGCTTGATGTGTAGAATCAATAGTTTGCCTATTTTAGGTATTATTATCAATATGATCTTCATATTATACTACGTTTTGTTCACAAGGGAATATAACGAAGGAATCTGGACCTGTTAGCATGACATTTACCATACCGATGTACAATGTGTCACGGCTTCAGGTAAACATATTTGTATTAACTTCTCTATATCACCAACATTCAGTACCCCGATTGTAGATCAATTAGATGTTATGCTAGTATCTTGACAGTTATTGGCTCGCATGCAAAAGCTTACTCAATTTGAACTGAAATCTTAATTGCATGATTTTATCCTGCCTCTCCCCTCCAAAGGAAAAATCTGATTGGGAAAATGTTCAACATTGTGCAACGACTTGGACCAGTGAAATTAGGGAGGCCTATTGCCTGTCCTAATTTTCCAAGCCTAAAAATTGCTGGTTTCGTCCGTCTCGGAGTTCGTTTCAAGATGCTGAGTGCTTAAAATGTTTCTTTGATGCAGGTAAAATACTTGCAGATATCAAAGAAATCCCGAGTCTCGGAGCCTTATCGGTGGGTGAGATACGTGACGCAGGCAAATTCCTATGTTGCTCGTATATGAATCTCCTTGCCCGCTCCTCCCAAAAAAAAAAAAAAGACAATTTTACGTTGTTTTATCATTCATTTGTAAATTGTAAATCACGCAGTTTGGATTCATGTTATCCTAAACCTCCTGTTACCAACAACCTGTTTTAAACTCATTGCTATTCTTTCGTTACACTTCGCCGTCGCTTAAACCATCGCCAGCCTCATTGAAGTTTTTAAGAGTAGTAAGAGGACGAGGCACTGAGAGATCTCATGCCTTTATGAATAGTGGTGGAAGAAGGTCGTCCACCGTGTCTTTGCCTGAAGCTGTACATTTATTAACCTCCTCAACTTGAGAAGCTTGTTCGTGTTATCCGGGTTGACTTAGGTTGCTGTCAAAGTGGAATTTCTCATGCCCACTTTGAATGCTGCCATTTATGGTGGTGGAGCAGCTCGAGTTTTAGTTGCCTTCTTTTTATTAATTCTGGTCCTCACGTTCTATAAATGCTTGATAATAATTCATAATATTAGGCCAATAAACCTCTGTTCAATAACCGTTCTGTTTTTTTCATGGTTGACAATACTGTGTATCCTCAACGATGAGCTAAGCATCCCGATTTGGATGAGGAATTGAGGCCAACCCTAATTGAAACACTGCCTGCCTTTTTTGTTTGTGTTCCTGTTTCATTCTAAGGAAGGAGGAAGACGCATTGTCCCACTTGAGGATTAAAGTCAGCACGAAAGATGAAAGCTGTCATGTCACATTGCCTCGTAGTTGTTTAAGGGGGAAAACCTCACAGGACATTGGACCGGCCACTTTCCTTCTTAACGCCATCATCTTCATTTTGCGATCAATCAAATCAGTTCTGATCAAAGGTC